AAAAAAAAAAAAAAAAAAGAGCAGCTGGTTGGAAAATATTTTCCCACCAAAAGGTGGGAAAAAGCTGACGTGGCGGAGGAAGTGGGAAAATATTTTCCGTGAAAAATTTAGACTATCAAACAGCGCAAAAAGTGAAAAACGGAAAAAATTTTCCTAATTCCATGGAAAATCTTGTCAATCAAACAGGGCCTAAATGAATAATTTTAAATAACAATCACATTAGACAACAATATTTGATATTGTTTCACGTAACAAAACAACCATAGACAGTTTAAAAACGAAAACTGTTTTTCCATCCATAATTTTCAAAGAACAAAGATAACGTCAAAATCAATGCAAAGGAAGGAGTATACAATCACCATTATTGTTCAAATATTGGATATGAAATTAGGGGTGCGTGGACCGACCGTGGCCTTGTGGGTATGGTATCATATGACAAGGACCATGCCCTTCAACATATAAGGACCAATTATTCAACAAAAATTTTATGAGTTTGGAAAAAAAATTTGTAGTGCCTATGAAAGTAGGAATAATAAGTGGATGATAATAATGAATGTATGATAGTTTGACTTCAAGGGTATGTTTAATTGTAAGCATGGGCGGACCTGGGGGCATCCTGGGGGCAGGTGCCCCCCAACTTCTAAAATTTTATTATTTTTATTTTTAAATTACGTTTGGTATCGATTGAAATTTAAATTTTAATTTAAATCAAAGTTAACAATTAATTTTAATAATATATTTCTTGGAATCCATAACTGTTTAATTTTTACCAAAATTCACTAAAAAATTGATTTTAATTTCCACCAAAAAAGGGTAAAATCAAAATACATTTGAATTTCGAAATATACTAATTTTAAAAATTCTCCGACGATCGTATGCTAATCGAATCTACAAATTGTTTGAATCATTTCTAAGCTTATTTCAAGAATTACATTATGGACATACCGAATAGTTCAAATATATATCGAAAATAGTTAAAAATACGTTAAACGTGAACCTTTAAAAAGACGTCTAACTCGCATTTTTTTTNGAGATATATGCTTGGAATATGATTGGAAAGAAAATAAATTCTAAGCAATTGAATTGTTTAAATCTTATTTGCATGTAAATTATTAATTAAATGTATTGGATTAGTTTAATTTTTAATTTAGAAAGTGTTATACTTGTCTATCATTTACTCGTAGGTAGATGTGAGAGAAGGGGGTAGATGAGAGATAAAGAGTGAATTGTTTGGAAAATAAAATCATACTCTCTTTAAAGAAAATATTTTCCTTATTTTCGAGAAAAATATGATCACGTGATCAAAAGTATAAAAATATTTTTCATGAAAAAAATATCAATTAAATAGTACAAAAGTAGAAATTTGAATAAAAAAATGACATTTTCATGAAAAATATTGACAATCAAACGCACTGAAGGAGTGTTGTCGTACGAATATGGTTTTGGTTTAGTTAAGTCTTTCATGATATAGAAAATGACTATGCTTTTAAATTAGGTGCTTCGACCAGGGGCGGGCTCATTAAGGGCCCGTTGGGGACAATTGTCCTCGCTGTGCCTTTAATTTTTGACATTTACAAAGTAGTCCTTATAATTTTTTAGTCCATAATTTTAAGTTTTTAACTCATAATTTTTACATAATTTTGTCTCGCTCCCATTGAATTACGTTCCTGGGTCCGCCCCTGACTTTCGACCCTATATTATTTTAATAAATGTTAGTATGTGACCATGTGCATTGCCCTTGATAAGGTAACACTATTGCAGTATTGTGACATTTTTTTGAAATTCAAAATATATATTGTTTAGAAATATAGACTGAAAATTGGTCATATTTGCTTGGTATACATTTCATCTATAAGGTACAAATTGAATTATATAGTCTCAAGTGGCCCAATTTTTGTGGTTGTAGATAGATCTAGAAAATTCTAATGTAAGATGATTTTATGGAAAAATAGAACATACATACGTCTCAATTAGACAAAACAACCATCAACAAAAGTTGCATTGAAATGTGAAGTTTCTTTTCCTAAAGTAATTTCATATGAAACATAACTGAAAGCTCACACATTGAACCTACTAGAACTAATGTCCTGTTTGATATCCCTAATTTTCCATGGAACTTGGAAATCAGTTTCATCTTTTACATTGTTTGATAGGCAAAATTTTCCTTGAAATTGGTCCCCCCCCCTGGTGACCCCCCTTTCTTGGTTTTCATTGAATTGGTTTTCCCATCATTTTGGTGGGAAGATGGTTTTCCAACTTTTTTTTAACAATGAAAATAAATTTTATCCCCAATTGTAACAAATTACATCTCTTTAATGAACAATTTTCATATAAAATAAAGTCAAACGAACACCAAAGAATCCAAAATTTTAATAGTTTAAACGTGAGAAATTATATTAATCAAACACAATTAATTGACAATTTCAAAAAAAATAATTATAGGCAATTCAATTTCCTATAATTCATTTTCTTTCTACCCAAATTCCACACTTGTAATCAAACGGATCCTGATAGTGAACTTCACAACACTCGTCAATTAATAAATTCATTCTGTTCATCACTTAAAAAGTAAAAACTAAAGCAAGTAAAAAGGGAAAAAAGGAAGAAAATGACATGAATGGGCATTTCTACATAGTTGAAAACTTATTGAGAATTAAAGCAACCATGTCTTTTTTGGAATGTGGTCCAAGAATTACTCGAAAAATAATTTATTTATTTTTTAATTCAAGAATTCAAGATCATTACTTGATATTCACACATATTTTATAATCAATAAATAAAGAATAAAAATTTATAAAAATTCGATAATCAATTTTTAAAATTGGATGTGATTCACGAACTTCCAGCTTTCAAAATCTTGAACTTCCAATTTTTTTATTTCAACAACTTGATTCTTCAAACTTCCAAGACTTCGATATTTTTCAGAGTCAAGACTATGCTTTTGGGCCCTATTTTTTATTCATTATTATTCAATAAAAAAACTAAATTCTAGATTGGACAAACTGAGAAAAGGAAAAGAAAAAAAAAATCTCTTGTTAAATTAATTGATTGTGCTAGTGGTACATCACACCCTACATAAGGGTGTTCATAGGCACTTCATCCAATTGAGAGGCGCCGGGTGTCCATTATGGACACCCTTATGTAGGGTGTGATGTACCACTAGCATTGTTCTAAATTAAATCCCTTTGTGTTCTCTACTTCGTCGTTCTCGAATTTTCGACTCATAAAACAAAAAATCATTAAAATCATAAACAACTAACATGTCCATAGTATATATAAAATACCCGATGATGAAGTGAAATTTAATTATCCGCAATGTCACGATAGATAATTAAACTCAATACATGGTGTGTTTGATACACTTCAAGTATACTAATGTCGCCATTAACCATTTCTGCGATAAGGACAAACCTTAATTTTGAATAGTAAATGAGTCAACACTACAACATTTCAATATAATGTACCAACTCTCATACATTGGTTTTGAAAAAAAAATATTTATAATTAAAATATAAGTTGAGTCATAATGTGCTTTTTCACGCAAGCACTCAACTTATACTATCACAAATGATCATCATAAATACTTTAATTTGCATGCTTAATATCAAATAAATGTAATAAAAGAAAATAAATAAAAACTACATTTTATTTATTATTAAAACGTTATTTTACATCGGTAAAATTATACTATTTGAGCACCTATCCAACATTTTTGAGTTCTAAGAAACTCGCCCAAACTATACACTGCAATCACCGATAAAATCATAATAAGGCTCTGTCTGCTCCCAATTTTTCTTGGATTTTCAGCAGAAACTGCACCGTTAGTGGGGCCCGGCTGAGAGATATGCAGTCAAGAAGTGCGGCCCAACGGCCAGAAAATGAATGAAAATGTTGCCAAAAATTTTTGCCAGACGGACTCTAAATAAAATTTTTGAAATGTTTTTATTTTTATTTTGATACTATTCGACACTATATGGTCCACCATATCAAGTTACCAATATAAATTGACAAGTGATAACTAATGGTTCAATAGAGAAACATTTCTTTCTTCAAGCTCTTAGAATCCCTTTTGATTTAGTGTTGTTCAACTCGGTGCCACTTCAAAAGGTTATTTATATAATGAAATATATTTGACCTATCAGGTTTGATAAGAACTATTCCCCATAATAAACATTATAATAAATAAAAAAATTAAAATGTTTTTATTTTGACACTATTCGATACGATATAATCCACCATATAAAGTTACCTAGAGAACTAAGGGTTCGTTTGATTGCAAATGTGGAAAATTGGTGAAAATAAAATGTTTTACAGGGAAATGAATTGTTTAGAAAATGTTTTACTGTGAATTGTAATTAATTGTGTTTCATTCGTATAATTTTTCACTTGAAAAATGTTGAAAGTTTAGTGTCCATTTGGCTTCTTTTTATGAAAATTGTCCATTAAAGTGATAATTTTTTC